GGAGTCGAACTCATGCGGAGGTGGCTTCAGATTCTCAGTGCTGTGCTTTAACCGACTGCACCACCAGGGAGGGCCATAACTGCATTTTTAAGTCGATAAGGTGTGCTGGATATCTTCAGTTTCTCCAGATCCAATCTCTACCCTTCTCTGTGTGTGGGAGGTAGACCTGCTCTGATTGTTCACTTGAATTCTCCTGTCCTTTGGCTTCTGGTTAGGTTTGGTCAATGTGAGACATTAGGTGGATACCAGAGGGCAGAAAGAGAGAGGTTACTGAAAGTCACAGATCTTTTGGGGCACCCCTTTCTTATAGCTGCAGCTCTCTCTGGATACTAATAAACATGCCTTCCTCTTTCTCTTTTAGGGCTAAATCCTCCTGCTGTCCCTAACTCAATCTCTTAACCTATTCACACTCCCCTAAATAGTTCCTTCATTAACCTAGCATCTCCTTAACAATTTTTTTCTTAGCTAGATGTTGACTGAATACACAGGGCTCCAACAAAATGCATCCATACAACTTTTTTCATAAAACTAATGGAGGAAGTTCTCCACTAAAATAAGAAATGAAAAAGATGACACAGAAATGAGGCAGAGGAAATCCCCAGAACAATGGTAAAAGAAGACACCAGGATGACAGCTACAAATTGGCTATGTACATAGAACAACCAATTCAAGCTGGAGTAGGTTAGAAAATCCTGAAGATGCCTTCAAGGTGAAACTGTTACCTATAAGGAGTTTTATACAATTAGGTAAAGAATTCGAGACTGAATTGGAGTTAAGAAATTAGAAAACTAAGTAAAGAAAAAAACCAAAATTGTTATTAATTATAGATGTAACAAAAAGTTGGCCAAGGGAGAAAAGTAATCATATATAGAAAATGGCTCAACCATAAACAGTATTTATGTAACAAAAACTCCAAAGGACTGCTGAATTTTTTCCTTCCCATACATGCAGTCACAGTTTCTCTGTTTTTGGTACAGAGCGATTTCCACAGAAGGTATTTAACATAACAGAAACCAAAGTTTCCAGGACATTTATTCTACCATGACTTATCTCTATTTTACCTAGGCCATTTGGCAGTGTGGAAAATCAGAATCTTGATTCATCCACTTCTGACCTATGTGACCTGGGATAAGTTATTTAATTTCACTATTTTCTTGCAAAATGTGAGGACTAGAATCCAAACATATAGAGAGCTTGGCACAGAGTAGGCATTCATAAATGACCACTCTTGACATTCATAAATGTCACTGTTGGAACAATGCTGCGTAGGTATATTATAAAGCCACAAGAACTATCACTGTGACCTCAAAAAAAGTAGGTAGTTGAGCATCTAGAAGTCACAGGGCGTTATAAATCTGACACTATTTTGAAATTAATACTTCCCAGATTATGTTATGTGTGATTTGGAACCAACAACTCTGTATATAAACAAAACTGAGGAAAAACTGTTTTGAGGAAAAGAGAGGACTGACGGGATGAAGTAAGACAGTGAATTAACTCTTAGAGGAACCCAGGCAGTTTACAGCTGTCCTTCACAGCAGCAACTAAAGACTCAGGTTCCCTCAGCCTGCTTGGCACCACTGAAAGCCTGGAGCTCCAAAATAAGTTTCTTTCTTACTCATACAGAGAAACAAACAAAGAAGTTTATTAGGCCTATGAATTCCAGGGATTGGTCAGTTATTAGTGGTTTGAAAGGTAAAGGGGAAAAGATCAGTCAATAATAATCATATGTTGAGGACCTGCCAGTCACAGTTCTAAGTAAGGTATTTTACATAAATCACCCTCATGTCACCTTCGGAACAACTTTAGGTGCGTTTATCTCTATTTTACAGAGGAAACACACTCAGAAGTTAAGGAAATTGCCTGAGGTTACACATCCAGAAAGCTGGGAGAGCTGGATCAGAATTCAGACTTGTCAGCCTCCAACACTGTAATATTTACTTATAGCACATACAGACTGTAGCTGGGGATTTTCTCCCTAACTGACAGCACTGATCAAGTCATATATTACCTAATAATCTTCAAATATGAAATGACAGCGGTAGGTAGCGTACAAAGCCCAGGCTATTTACAACAATTGCGCTTACAAGATATAACCAACGCTAGAGACTCAAAACCATCAACTCCTGATATGGAGCTACGACATTTAAATATATTGAACCAGGAAAGCGCTGACCAAGGGGAGCCGTGGAGGGGCTACTCTGGGTTATTTCTTTGCCGTTTGTGTATACCCAGTGAGTGCTGTGTGTCGACTGGAAGGTTGGATGACTTACGTAGCGAGTCTTTTCAAATCTCACGCGGAGCATCTCTTACAAGACTTCGAGGCCATTACAGCCGGCTCAGTCATCACTCTTTGTCACGCTGCTGCTGCTGCAGCCTGACAAGCTTCTGAGGTGGGACTAAGGTTGGAGAACCACGCCGCCACCCGAGAGAGCAAAGCAAGTCCAGAAATCCCGGGCCACCGCCACACTCCGGACCTTGCCGCTCAACTGCCTCTACTGCGGCTGGGAGGTCCACTTCTATCTCGGCGCCCGTGACGCGCCGGTGTAGGCGAGGGACCGCAGCTCAGCCTGCATGTGGGTGCGTCGGCAATGACAGTGCAGGAATTCCACGCCAGCTGCGGAATGGGTAGACCCAACTGAAGAGAGGGAGGGAACACTGTTCATCTGACACACCCCAACCCGCTCTGCAGCAGCCCAGGGCTACGGGTGTGGCGGCGGGAAGCGCTTCAGCCCAGTGAGCTCAGAGGAGTTGGCGATTTGGCGAAGCAGCGGAACTCCGAGAAACTGGGGCCCGCGCGTGCGCATCCCTCCCGCGCCCGCCGGCCAGAGACGCACGCGCAGTCCGTCCTCGTTCCCTCCGTCCGCACCCACAGGGCCCGCGGCTCCACCCCCGGAGGCCCCGCCCTGCTCCCGTGCTCTGAACGCTCCATATCCGGGTTCCCGCCGCCGCCGCCGCCGCCGTCGCCGCCGCCGCCTCCTCCTCGCTCATTCAGCTTTGCCGGGAGTGGTGTGATTCCCGACCAAGATGGCGGCTGTGGGACGAGTCGGCTCCTTCGGTTCCTCTCCGCCGGGATTAGCCTCGACTTACACGAGCGGCCCTTTGGCCAACGAGCTCGCATCGGGCAACGGTGGCGCCCCAGCAGGCGACGACGAGGACGGGCAGAACCTTTGGTAACGACCCACCCCTCCCGGGGTCCCCGCTGGCACCCTCGGCCCTGCGGGATCCCGTGCCCGCCAGAGCTCGGCTCCGGGCCCAGGCCCTGCTGCCTTGGCAGCCCCCATCCGGGCACGCCGAGCACAGGTCCGTCCCTCCCGCGCTGCGGCCGCGGCCCCCGGCCCCGACCCCCCCGGCCTCAGCGTGCGCCTTGCTCCCCGTTAGGTCCTGCATCCTCAGCGAGGTCTCCACCCGCTCGCGCTCCAAGCTCCCCGCGGGAAAGAACGTGCTGCTGCTGGGTAAGTGTCCCTGGTCTCGTTCCGCTCCATCCGCACCCCACCCCAGCCTGGGTCGGGGTCCGGATCCGCCCGTCGGTTCGCTTTGTGCTGGCGGACTGGCCTGGCCCCGCCCCGCGGCCGGACCTGTCGCTGACAGCTGGGGAGAAGGGTGCCGGCACCTCTGCCCCCGACCTGCGGGACCCGCCCTCCCCCGAACCCCTTCTCTTCCAGTAGGTGGCTGGGGTGGCCCTGTCAACCTTCCCCTGGGGAGGATGGAAGGCAATAACTCATGTGAGGTGGTCTCGTGGATTAGGCTTTACCTAGAAAATAAGGGCGGTTTGTCTTCATAACAATAATAGGTAGCAGTAGGCTCTTCGAAAGAGCTCCAGAGCAAATGGCATGCTATTAATATTTAATAGCTGACTCTGTATAATTGACAGAGAAGACAGAATTGAGACCTAGTAGCGCAATGAATGTTCTTATTTGATTCAGCTCTTTCTGATACAATGGGTTCATGTTTGCAGCTTATAGCTGTCACTTACAAATCCGAAATTTGTAAAGGGTATTAGAACACCTTTCTAGTTCAATCCCTTCCGCCAAATGGAGATAACAAAGAGGAATGATCAAATTTCTTAGCATTCCTAATTGTTTTATATCTCCTCTGTTGTCTGGAAGTTATTTTGTCTCTTTACTGATTCTGGGGTTGGGCATAGAGGACAGTGAAGAAGAACAATTCGTAGGTTCACATTTTTGCAGGCTTGGCTCCGGAGTTGTTACAAGGAGCGATTTCTTCCATATTCTTTAAATGTGAAATATTGATGTTTGGCTAAAAAAGTGATGATTAAAGTTTAAAATGTTGGTATTGGCATCCTTAGACCATTTTTGTTTCATTCGCCTAATAAAGGAAACAAAGAAGTCAGACGCAACTTGACAGGATTTAGGAGTGCATAGATAGAAACAAATTAAAGATTTTTCATGAACTGCAACCAATTCAGAATGTGTAATTCTTTATTTTCTTTAAAGTAATATGGAGCTCGTTGAAAAATTAGACTTTTAACTTGTTTTTAAATGTGATTAAAAGTACCCTCTACATAGTAATCTGGGTCCAGTTATAGCCTAACACACACTATCCTGATGACCTTAAATTGATATCGACAAACCTGCATTTCTTTATGCTTAAAATGGATGCTATAGATAATGCCTTTCTCCTAGGGTTATGGGAAAACTGAATGAGAATGTTTGTAAAGTGAGGTGGGCTCAGTGAACTTGTGATGAATTTCTTTTAACTGGATTAGAAATATTTTTTAGATTACAACTCTCATTTTAAAACTGGATTTGCATCTGCTTAAGGGGCAACCATAGATTAGGGTTGAAAACCAAGAAAGTTCCAGAAAATGTTTTCAGTTTACTAATTGACACAAATTATTAGCTTAAGTTACTAATAATTACTGAACTATAATGGTCTTAAGATAACATGATCATATTAAAGTGCATTATATTTTGATTGGTCTAATTGAAATAGGACTTCTTTTCAAATACTGCCATTGTAAAAATAAGATTTCTGAATTTTGTCTTCATTTTATTATAAGTTCCTCTCAACTATTCCTGTGTATTTTATATTGCTTCGATGGTTTTCTTTGTAGGGAAACAAAAGTGACAGTTTTGTTCATTTCTTGACAGTTTCTCATATTCACAGAGGTTACACCATGTTTTTTTTTTAATTCTCCCTCTCTGTTTTATTTTAATTTTTATTATTTTGTGAAAGATTTATTTATGCATACAGAACTGGAACACAGGCCAGTGGTACAGGAGAGATGAGAGGAGTCACCAGAGATAGAGTGGGGACCAGAACAAGGGGAGCAGGGGACAAGACAGGAGAGATCTGCTGTGCCATTTGGATTATCTCCCAGGGATTGACCTACCTGTTTTAACATCTCTTTGACACTGGATCATTACATACCAGAGTGTACTTAGAAGCCCCAGACTTGTCCACTCCACCAATATTTCAGTTATTTGAGCTTGAAATTTAATTTTTTTTTTTCCTTTGAGTACTATGAAACTGTCTTCAGAGTCCTTTTCAGCATTGGAAAAAGCCAATTATAGATTTTTATTGTGATTACACAAATAGGATTAATTTTATAAAATATCTCTAAACAGTTCTTGAAGACATTTTGTCATTACATATATCATGTCAGTGTTAGGTCTGTTGGTAGAAGGAAGAAATATATATGTAGGAATTGTTTTTCTTTTAAGTTTGAAGGTGGGGGGTGATTGATAGGAGTATGTCTTTCATGAATTATGATAATCTCTAGAGTTCCATATTAAAAAAAGAGCATCAAAGACTATAACAAGGTTTTACATTTCCAGAAACAACCTAGACTAAAGCTTACTCTGGGACACAATCTACAGTTTAACCTTGACTGCTACATGGTCTCTGTCCCAGGCCTGTGGGAGAAAAAAATCAAAACTAGTAATGTATGCATTGTATGAGTCATTCTCAATGCATTTTCATATAAACCTTAGTTTTTTTCTCCTCTGTGTGTCTCTCCCACCCCACCCCCCTAAAAAGTCTGGGAGGTAGATATTAGCACTAATTTATATATGAGACAATGAGTTTTAGAGACCTGAAAAGTGAGTTTTCCAAGGTCACTCAGCTGTAAACACCCCTAATTCTGACTGGCATGGCTTTTCAACTTTCCCTACAAGAAGAGTATAACTTTTAAAACTATGTTTTTGAGTGAAAGTACTACTACTTACTTGGATTCTAGGATATATTTTTTGGAGTCTAGGGTGTAGCTTAATTGAGGGACACCACTGTAGCCACAGCACTTGTGTTTAAGCAGTCACTTAATCTACCTAGGTTGACCCCTGGTGACACCCAGAAGCACTGTGGTATTAGTATTTAACCACTATCCTTTTGGAAAGATTTTGAGAATGAGCTTCAGTAGTTTGTTTTGAATATTAATTGCAAAGCTTCTTATACATATTTTTTGTAGGGCTTAACATAAATTGTCCTTTTAAGAGTTTTTTCTCTCTCTTTATTCTTTATATTTAATCAGTTTTTTTACTGCAAATTATAATTTAACAGCTGCTTTTAAACTCACTTTCTCTGGGTTTTGATTTCTTTCTCATGTTTTGATAAGAAAACTCTGGAAGGAAAATAGCAACAGTAACTAACATTTATTGGGCAAGTACAAGTATCTGCCATGTAAAGATTGTTTACATACTCTGATAATCCTGTAAGATCAAGAAACTGCAAGCAAAGTTAAGTTGTCATATGGTTACACAGGATTCTAATGGGCTTCTAGACTCGAGAGCCAGCATTCTTAACCTATATACTGGACTGTCTCCCTAAAGGAAAAGAGCTTTCTTTGTAGGAAAAGTAAGCTGTTTAAGTTAAAAGGACTTTTGTCTGGTACTCTATGTATTTGTTTAATTGCCAAAAAATCTCATTGATTTAGAGTAATTGAATTCACTTTCTACTAAGATGTATATATGAAGGCCTGTTCCTCAGCACAATGACTGTCTTATGTATAGGCTATCAGTCTAACTTTCTGATTTCAGACGGATGAATTTATGAAAACTGGTTAATATTTTTGCAAAATTCACCTTTCTTATTTGTAAGCTATTTGATTTAGTGATTGCTGAAGCCTTGCTGATCTGACATTCTCTGATACTTTCCCCCTAAAGCTTGTGAATTATTATTTTGAAAGAAGTTATGTAAGTACATATTGCAATTGGATTTAAATTAAAAAGGTATTTCCTTGTAGATGTGGGCTATTTTATTTCACCCAATGAGAAAAATCTAGATTTTCTGTATTGTTTTTACCCTGAAGGTACTAGTCCCGGATAATGCACAGGCCGAAAAAGTACTGCGAAGTGCAGAGCATCATTAGATAGTATCTGTGCAGCATTGTTCTTTCTTATTCAGGAATGAAACTGACTTTAATTATGTTTGAATTATTATAAGTAAAAAGCTTCAAGATATAGTGGTTCAGAGAAATAACTTGTCAAGGAAGTAGATGGCTTTCTCTATGAGAGCTCATTTTTAAAATAGGATTATTTAGTCAAACTATTAGCCATGAGAAGCTGGGCTTAAAGAACATCAAGATACCATCTCTTCTTGGAGAAAGATTTTATCAGTTGAAATTATGTTGATGCTATTTTTCTGGCGTGTTTGGTTTATGGAAATGTGGTACAAGGAATAAAATGTTACCACATTTGTGATATTTGATTGGTAATTTTCAAACGATTAACATAACTGGTTTATTGCATATTATATGTTATTACCACAAAGAATATGCCATTTTGGTATGTTTTGAGAATCAAATGTCATATTGGTATTTTATAATATAAAGAGATAGTTAATAATTCAGGTTTTGTGAACTTTTTACTTTTTGTTGTAACTACTCAACTCTGTCCTTGTAGTTTCAAAATAGTCACATAAAATAAATACATAAATTAGTATGGCAGTGTTAAAAAAAACTACAAAAACACGCAGCAGATCAGATTTGGCCTGTAGGCTGAAGTCAGCTTTATGTTGTTACGGGCATTGGTTTTATCAATAAGCAGCAGTGCCAGTTAATAAAAGTTTCTGGTTAATGAAATACGATGATTGGCACATAATTGGTGTTAGTAATTAAATGTTGGATGAATAATTACTTTTAGTTAAAAGTATTGTATTCCAGGTAGAGGTATAGTCTGACTACAGGTTGAAGAAGTATTAAAAGTATTTCATGTGTTTCCCTCAGTGCTACCATTAAAGCAGAAAACAGCTGGAAAAAACACAGAGGTAGGCCAGTGGGTTGGTAATTCAACTGGTATGAAACCCACTTGATAATGTTAGCAAAAGTACTATGAAAATGCAAAACAAAGGAGTTTTGAGTAAGGAAAAAGGAAGGTCCCAAATTCACCATAGGACTTTGTTATTAATAAGTGAGACCATGGATTGATTGGTAGCCAGATTTTTATTTGTATACCTCATTTTCTACTCGTCCAGAATTATCTTTGAGATAAAATTC